CATGATAGTAAACTGCTGTCATGATAGCTTTTCAGGCTAATTTTTGGAGTGCGCCAATTCGTCGTCTAACATCCAATTCAAGCGATTCAAGCATCCACACATAACTCTTAGAGCCACCTAGCTATTAGCATAGGTAGCACACCAAAACATTGAGCCAGATAAGATTTCGAAACATGAATCCAAAATGGTTCATTTTCTTTCAAAAATCACTACCAAGGTGCCCAAACTCTCAAACTAAATGCCAATAGCCATCGAACCACTTGACCTAACTCAAATAGACCACAAACATCCTGTTCAAGTATTTAAATCACAATCATAACAACCCAGATAAGAATTGACCACCAAAACCCCATTTTTAACATAAACCTTTCTAGGTATAACAATGCCTCACAAACAATCCAATGGTCAATCTAATATATGAATCAATACAAAACTAGTACTTGCCTTAGTATCTTGACCTCTCACAACCATTACAACACAAATACAACAAACTCAAGCCGAGATACCCGCAGTTCATAACAATTCAAGCATGTGTATCACAAAACTATGTGTCCTAAGTTGGCATATGTATTTAACCATTCGTTGCAAACCAAAATAAGTGAAAGGACTATACAACTAAGAGCTAGTCCCCTTGATGCTCGAATGCACCTTCCTTTTCATTGCCTTTATCAGAGCCTTTACCTGTAAAATGTAACCACAGAGTAAGTTGAGGACTCAGTAACCAAATAATCTAATCAACTACTCATGTGTGAGAACAGTTTGCGTGTATGTAAAGTGGCATAGTAAATCATATAACATGTCACATAAATCCACACATATGGTTATAGTATGATATGTATGATCGACACATCACCTTATACCCTCCTTATATTTTTCGACTAAATCTGTGGGCTGACAATTTGATAGGACCAAGTTCATGTGACTAAACTGGCCCAAGTTCACCATTAGTAGGAGATAGCCCTGACTAAGAGTGTTTTCACCCACTATGGACCACAAATTCTCCCTGTTCACAAATACTAGGGGTGTCGATGCCCAATCTACCACTTATAGTACTAGGACTTCTAAATAATATAATACTGAGCACCAAGACCTCTACAGTGCTAGTATACCATATAAATTTTTAAACAATGTCCCAACAACATACTAGGGTGAACTCCTACCCTCTCACAATGATCATGCCAAACATGCTTGATGCAATCAACACATATAGTCATAACATATAATTTCACCATAATCTCTCATTTCCACTTAAATCACAGAGTTTGCAAGTAGTCATATATAAAAGTTACTTTCCAAATACTAAAATATTAAAATAAGTTTTCATTCCATTTCACATATCTTCAAAATCATAGTTTTATATCATTACTATACTAGTACTAAAACAAAACATTAACTTTAAAATCTAACACATTATCATTCAAACACACAAAAAGGGAGATTAGATAATCCAATTATCTCAACCCTTTTATCACTAAAAGGGTTACTGTGATCAACCAACAACTCCACATGCATCCACTAGCACCACAAGGCTAGATTAATGGTTAATCTACACAATTAAACCCTTAATTATCAATCCCCACACAAATAACCTTATTTTGTAATACAACTGGGGGTACCTATTATGCTCAAAACCTCAATTTAACCCAACAATCCTTCCAACATACTACATTAACTTTATTTAACACCCCAACACACAAACAATACCATTACATTATCCACATTGCCCTTAATCATCCAATTTCTACCTAGGGTTCATGTAAACCCTAACCAACAAATCTAAAACTTTATGTAATCTATAAATATAGATTTAAAGACTTGATTCCATCCAAGACCTTAACTAAGGCAATGGATTCAGTCATTATCTAAGAAAAATTGAATCAAAGCCCTAAAATACTCTAATTATCAAAAAGGTCTAAATATAGGGAGAAGGGAAAGTGTAAGAAGCTTACTTAAAGCTAAATCTTGCTCCAAATGCTTCCAATATGACCCCAAAGTCAATCCCTAGCATCCACCAATCATCTATCATCGTCTCTTCATGATCTCTCGTTCATACTTCTTGTTTTCTGTCTGATTTTGCGACATGATAAATGCAAAAATCTGTACATGCGTCATGGCACATGACACAAAGAACTCCACACACGTTTTGAATTTCGCCATGCCATGGCTCGCTCATACTTAAATCTAGTCCTTTTTTAAGGCTGTCCAAGGATCTATTAGTTACATTAGTCTCCCTAAAACATTATTAACTAAAAATTCACTTAATTTGACTAAAATACCCTTATAAACATAGGAAAAACCCAAAGTTAAAATCTAGAATATTACATTGTCTCTTATCATGACCCTAAATACACATCAAAATTTTAGGGACTATTACAAAAGGCGATAGGTACTGATTTGAAGTTCACCATGACATATCATCCATAGATTGATGGATGGACTAAGAGGATTACACAGCCTTTGGATGATATGCTGAGATCTTGTGCTTTAGAGTTGAGAGGCAACTAGGATAGCTATTTATCTTTAGCTGAGTTTACCCATAAAAATAACTATGTAATGTTAAGGCAAAAATTACATGGATCATGCGTTCATGTCTATCATCCACCGCAAGAGTGCATAATAGCTCTAACTCCTTGCAAGTGGTGAACTAAAAGCTCTCAATTGGCATAACCTAAGAGCAATAAGGTCATTAGTGAAGCATGCATGCCACACACTGCATTCAGTAAGTTTAGAGTTGTGAGGAGATCGCAACTTATGAAGATCCTTCTCCAGCAATGATCATCTTTCATAGTTCAATGTGTTTCAGGTGTGGGTCTTCCATATCTTCACATTATTAGTAATATCACATATTCACACAAATTTGGCTGCTAAACTGCCCTTATCACACACTTGGGCAAAATGGCATATTCACACACATTTATCCACAGTTAGCCAAACCAATCTTCAAGCTGTAAATGTTTTGACTAAGGGCTTACGTGAGCTCACATTTGAGAGTTACATCAGCTAAGTAGAACATGATTGACATATGTGATCCAACTTGAGTGGGAGTCAGTGTGGAGATCTATTGTAAATGTTTTGTTCTGATTAGTAAGACATAATAGGTATTACCAGTATTTATTAGTCTTTGTTATCTTGTCCTTTATCTTGGTCTATAAATACCATTTGTAGCACACAATTTTTAATCAATGAAAAATATATATTTTGCCTCTCAAAATCCCACAATATGAGACATCTAGAATTGAATATGAACATAAGTCACATTTGATTATTAGGAAAAAAAAATGGAATTGAATGGATTGAAAAAATAAAGGTAAAAATAAGATGATCAAAAGAAATAGTGAATCACATTCATAAAGGAGAGGGGTCATTTAATTCATGGGATTGATTCTCACATTTATAGTATATATTAATAAATTTTATCATGCTTACCATGAGGAGGTGGAATGATTTACTTTATTTTTATGTTAATTTTTCAATACATTCTATTCTATTCTTTTCTAGTAACCGAATGTGACCATAATATTCTTTTTTATGCTGTGTGTTGTATTTGTACAGAATTTCTTTGGCTTTGTTTTTCAGCTTTCCTATCCTCGACGGCCGACGAGCCAATTCCCATCAAGAGAGATGAAGACAAAGGGCAAAAGGCAGATAACAGATCAAGGAGGAGCTAACCTCAAAGCCGAGTGCCCCATGAATTTCAGGTAAAGGGTCTGTCATTCTCTCCGCCTTAAGATTGCCGCTGACAATGCTGGCGGCGTGCTTGCTAGAAGTCAAGGACAAATACAGTGAAATGCAAGAAGTAGAGTGAAATGCAAAGGAATGACGATGAAGGAAGGAAATGGAATTACTTGAGGGGTAATTTTGTCTTTTTAGATACATTAGAAATAACACCCTTAAGACTCTAAGTAATTAGGAAAATACGAGGGACCTCTGTGAAATTAGCTTGCTTAGGTGGAACATAAATGTGATGTTCCCATACAATTATATTAATTCAATTATTTAAAAGTAAAGATTTTTTAAATTATATTTTTTAAAATAAATTTAATACTAATTTTTTATTTGAAATTAAACTGCAGAACCTTATTTTTAAAAGAGTATTTTTTTTAAATTGGGAAATAACCCATGCTAATTTTAAAGCTAATAGATTTCATACTAAGGTTATAATAGTTTATTACACTTATTACCTTGGTCCTTCATCTTAATTTTAATTTTAATTTATGGTCTTTTATAATAAATTTTAGTAGTATTAGATGCCTCTACCTAATTTTCCCAATAAAATTGTGATAAATAGGAAGAAGTTATTTTCCCATCGGTGGCCACTTTTAGCGCTGTGCAAAACACTCGTGACTAAAAATCAAAATATCATTTTTCTTACAAGTATTAAAGAGTTTTTTTTTCCCTTCAACTATTCACCCAGAAACATTCAGTATCTCAAACTTTTATATAATACAATTTTTTTTAACTTTTAAAAATGGTGATTCAGCCCCTTACTATTAAAAAAAGTTAATTTTAATTGTTAATGGATAACAAATTATAAAAAATGACCTGAAAAATTATAAAAAAAAGGACCAACAAGTTGTAAATAAGTATGATATAAAAAATTTGATTAATTTTCTAAAATAATGGTTGGTCAAAATCGTATTTTGATCTTTTACGTGGGCATTAGAAATAACATTTGGATTAATTAATATTAATTTATAGGATATACTTATGCGCAATTTTGAGTCATTTTCTGTAATTTTTGAGGACATTTGCTGTAATTTTAAAGTAAATAGCAATTAAAGTTAACTTTTTTAATGGTAGATTGAGTGTTCAATGGATCATTTTTAAAAGATTAAAGGAGAAATTGCATCATGCTACAATGTGCTCCTGATCAGCGAATTGCCAAGCGCATTAACCTTTTTACAATGTGAGTAAAACAAGGCAAATAATCATTAATCTGGAATGGCTTGAGTCGCGCTAATAATTTTCCTTATAATAACAACACATGTATATATTACCACTTCTTACAAACGTTTTTCCCCTTGATATTTTGGTAAACACTTACAAACAATTTAAACATTTAAGCACCACACACAAAACTACAGAAGAAACTAAAGTGCTAAATGTTAAAGGGACACTACAAATATGCCTCTCATAGTACATAATTGAGGTTTTTTCTGGTCTCATGCATGTGACTCAACTCTCAAAACTCACGTAGGTAGGTCTTACATTGACGTATTATATATATATATATATATATGTACATAATAATCTAGTTATAAGGAAGAAGTGATAAATAACCTTGGATTCTGAGGATAATTCTTGACCGTGCTATCTAGCTCCTTCACAAATCTCTCCATGGCTTCACCAGGTAAACAAACTGGGATCACTAAACCTTCTTGTCCTTGAGCATTCTTAAACGGTATATAAAAGCTTGCCACCCCAGGAATGGCTCCCACTCCTCCCTTTGCCGGACCACCATACGCTGCCTTTCCCCACCCGAAATCAACGTTGCCGAATCCGGCCCGTGTCACGTCTGACACCAGGTACGACCTCACCACCGTGAAATGTGGCCGTCCCTTGATCACCAATAAATCTGCCAATGAGTGCATATACTCCTCCGTTACATCTCCTTTTGCTTTCTTCACCAACTCTAAAGCATATCCGAGTGGATTCCGACATAGTTCGCCTGCCGTGGTCACCGCAACCGGAAAGGCGAAGCCGTTACCATAATAACCGGCCGGCAAGGGAGGGTTGAACTTGGCACGGGCATTAACAATACATATTATGCGAACTTCTTCATCATCATCAGGTTGCAAAGCCATTGTACGGCAACGCCATAAGAATGCAGTGATGATTTCGAAATCTGAAGATTGACGGAGATGATAAGGGATTTGAGAGCGAATTGAAGCGACTTCATTGGGTCCGAAGAAGAACGAACGATGGACCATGTCATCTAGAGGGATGATAGTTCCTTTTGTATCAGGGACTTCGTCATATTCACGGTGCGTGCATGTCACGCGCGGGGGATCTCTTGCATTTAAAAGCTCCCTCTGCCAGACTGGTGGAATTGAAGGCTCACGCGCACCACAAGCTATTTCACCTAACGCGGTCATGAATTGGACGAGACCAGATGCGTCACTCATTGCGTGATTCAGGCGGAGGGCAAAAATGAAACCACCACATTTTAGGCGTGTGACCTGAACAGTTCGATTAAAGTTGTTGTGACTTATTTAATGTACAAAACACTGGAACAAAACATACTAGAAATTTAAGAATTAACATTAAAAAATTTGATTAATTTTATTATTTGTCATTGTTTGTTCCGTGTTCCCTAAAATACCCAAAAGAAAATAGAAAGCATTAAATGTTAAGAGACAAAAATGAGTGAAAAACTGTGAAATTAACAGGATAATTTGAGAAAAGAATTTAAATAAAGGAGACAAAGAAAATTGAGATCTTATATTTAAAATCAAAACAAACATTTCAACTAAGTCTTATATTTAAGATTAGAATGAGTATTTAAGTATTTAAGATTTAATGGAACATAAACTTGATTTGATTCAACTCAGTTTCAAATCATGATATAATGTTAAACTTAAATTTTGTAGCTAATTTATGAACAATTTACATGTGTATATTAATGTCATCAACTCAAGACACAAATACATTTTCGTCAATAATTCATAATGATGTGCAGACGAAAAATAGACTAATTATTATTAGTGGACACACCACCAATTATGTAGGAAGCGAGGACGAAAGTCGCTGGACAAAGAATCTGGTTACTTAAAGGAGCTCATTAAATAAACAAAATAAATAAAAAAATTAATTTCCATTTTTAATTTTATAAAAAATAATCAAATAATATATAATAATTATAAGATACATGTATACTCATTTGATTCTTTTTATAAGTCATTTCTACTAATTTCATTAATATTAATATAAAAAAGTATCAGAAATAAAAGTATATAAAATTCTAAATATGTCAAATATAACAAATATGTTGTTTACCTTTTCTTTGTCATAAAGAGTAATTTTAAAAATATTTTTTAAATATTATTTAAAAATTATACTATAACTTATAAATAGGATTAAGTAAATATTTTAAAATATACATTATAAATTAGACAGGAGTGAGTGCATGTTATTGTTGATATTAATAATTTATAAGGATATATGGGAAATACGACAAAACCAAAAACTGTTATGGTGGAGACAGCAACAGGAAGCAGCCATGAAGCTGGTGTGTCACTTAATTTCTTTATTATTCTTGGCATTTATTTATAATTTTATTAGTTTGTTTGTAATTTTATTACTTAGTTAATTATCAAAGTTAATTTTTCAATAACAAGGTGTTTAATGTACTATTTTTAAATGCTAAAGAAAACATTACATTATATATAAGTTAAAGATACCAAAAAATTTTAAAAAAATAGTTAAGGGGCAAAAATATATTTTAGCATTTTACCTGAAATGAATGAAATTTGGAAAAGGAAGCAATGGTAATGATAATAATTATTATAAAATAATAATATATTATTATTATTTAAAAATAAATAAATCACATTTATAATAATAATGAAACTCTCTTGGTCAGACTAATAATTCTGCTTGAAAAGAATAGGCACCACAAAAATATTCTTTTTTTGGGGTAAAACATATGATAGATATTTCATTTCTTGTTCTGGAAAAAAAAAAAAAAGTTAGAAACAAAGCGACGAGAGAAAAGCAATATGCACGGTGGCGTATATATCCACCCAACCGATCATCGAGGACCAGATCTCTAGATTCATCCACCAGTATATATACTTTCAGATTTTTAATTCCCCTTAATTATAATCATATTTCAGATCTCATGCATGGTGATTATCATTTCAATTATAAGTCTAAAAGTATTTGAGAGTTAAACTCATTTATAGTATATTATTTCTTTAATGTTTAAAAATAATGCAATGTCTTACTTATCATTAACAATATTAACTTTAACAGTTAGTTGATCAAAAAATTATAATAAAAAATTACAAAAATTATAAAAAAATAAAATTATAAAAAACACATACTATAAAAAAATTAATAATGATCAAGTTTCATGATCTGTTGTTAATCGGTATTAATTTTTTATATGGTATTTATTATTTATAATTTGTTGGGTTCTTTCTCTGTAATTTTTGAAATCTTTTATGAATTTTTTTAGTCAATTAATAATTAAAATTAGTTTTTATTAATAAAGATAGCATTGCCTTTATATTAATTTAAAAGTAAAATTATTATTCAATCCTTATATTAAATGGTATGATTTTCCAAAAAAGGTTGCTACAAATAAGTTGCGTGGGTGTTACACACACACACGGGGTTTATAATAGTAATTTTTTTAGCCTCTTACTGCAAAGTTCCTATGAAAGTGCAGTGACCTGTGATCTGAGAAGTTTTTCTTATTGCTTTTTTCCCTCGGACCCAAGTCGAAGAGGCAAAAAAATAAATAAATAAATAAAAAGGCATGTAATTAATGTTTCGGTAATATTTAAAAAAATTAGAAAAAAAAGAAAATACCTGAATAAGAAGAAGTGGAGTGTTGAGAACAGCTGAAGTACCAGGAACATCGTAAAGCAGCTCTTCCAAGCAAGGAAAAGGAGGCTGAAGAGAATCACCAAAGGCCTCCAGAGTGAGGTCAGCATCAGCCTCGATGAAAACGACACCGTCTCCATTACAATCCACCATGAGCTTCCGGTTCGGCCCCTCTCGGAGCCGGCCCGCGAAAGGATAGTATAACACCAGAGTTTCAGCCAAAGCTTTTCTGATCACCACAACAGGATCTTTCCCTCTCATGAAAGCATCGTAACGATAGAACTGAATCACTGGAATTTGAAACCGAAGGCCCTCTTGGTCATCGATGTCCGACAAAAGCTTCACTTCGCGCGGTGTGGCCTTCGCCGGAGCAATTAGCTCCGGCTGGCGACGACGTACTGTGAATGATAAGGCTGATGGAGCCATAATGGGATAAGGATATAAAGCTGATCGAGGACGTTATTGGTTGGTTGGCTGATTTCTGATGAGGAGCATAGTAAAGCATGCATTTTTGGGTCAGACATTTAAATAGCGAAGCTGCCGTGGGTGGGGCACTCCCCAGTACATCAATATTATGTTATATTATATTCTTTCAACCAAATGGGTGTGGTCCTTAAGGTTGTTAAACTCAAGCGGCGGCTCTTGATTTAATGTAAATTTGAATCTTAAATTCGTAAAGTTTGTCTCAATTAATAAACAATTATTGAAAATATATGATTAAATAATTAAAAAATAAAATGTGATTATAACTTGATTCAAATATATTTTTTTGGGTCAGACATTTAAATATATTTTAAATATAAATTATTGAAATTGAGTACATCAACATTGATAGATTATCAAACTTAACATAAAAATTTTATGTTAAACTAGGGCAACTTATTTTTAGTATTTCTTGATTTTTATAAATATTAATTCTTGCTTTTTGCTTTTTATTTTTTTTTTAAGTGGGTCTTACTACTTTTATAATTGAATTTTACATTATACACACACACTTAACTCACACAATTACATACAAAAAAAAATTACTGATTTAGTAAGTTTAATTGAGTTTACACCTAATATGAGTTTATAAATGAATTAATATAATTTTATAAGATAGTGATATAAAATGGTAAATAAGTTAATTAAATTTCTATCTAGTTTGAATTTACGAATAAGTTAACATGATTTTATAAGTTAATAAAAATAATAAAATTAAAAAGTTAACTCAAAAGTTTGAGAACAATGATGGTGTTAATAACAGTGATATTGGTTTCTTAATTAAATATCATACCAAAATTCCATTCTAAAAGCTATGAAGACACTATTAAAAAATACCGTATATATAACGCTCCATATTTAACAGTTATAAGAAAAAATGTTGAATAAAAAAAGGCAGGATTTTAAAAAACTAATATTCAGCGGTTAAAAAATTAACCGTTGAATATACATTTATATATTCAACGGTTAAATATAAAAACCATTGAATAAAAAAGGCAGGATTTTGAAAAACTAATATTCAGCGGTTAAAAAATTAACTGTTGAATATACATTTATATATTCAACGGTTAAATATAAAAACTATTGAATAAAATCTTCAAAATATTGCCTGGTGACATCACCATATTATTCAACGGTTCAGGAAAAGTAACCGTTGAATAAAGTGTCAGAATATTTAACGGTTAAGAGAAAAAACCGTTGAATAAACGTTTTCAAAACCGCCTTATGACGTCATCTTATTATTCAACGGTTCCTTAACCAGAACTGTTGAATAAACGTTTATAATATTTAACGGTTTACCTGAGGAACCATTGAATAAACATTTATTCAACGGTTGTTCAATATAACCGTTGAATAAGTTCATTTAAATTGCCTCTTCATTCTCCCGAAACCGTTACTTTCAGACGCTCAAAACTTCATTTCTCCTCTGTAGAACCAGATACCCATTGTCAAGTCTCCTCCCCAAGCACCGAGTCCACATTTCCGGCCAAACCCTTCCATATTCCGCCGTTGGAACACTGTCGCAAGGCTTCATTGCCATTTTCGTCTTCCATCTTGTGGTGTGCGAACACGTAAGTGCTCTGCTTCGCTCCTCTCTCCTCTTCCTCTTCCTAACTTCATCTTGCTCTTCCATTCCAGTTGCTTTGGTTCATGATTCATCTCCATTCAACCGTGGTTACGTGCGTGGGTCGGCAAAACAAAAAAAGGTTAGTTTTTTTTAAGAAATTGTATAAAATTTGAGTATTTTATTTGAACATTATGATTATTTACATTGGGGATGATTTCATATACAATGTGCTTGAATTTTGGTAGAACGAAAATGCTCTATGTCTGTTACCAATTGTTAAATGTGATTGATTGAGTGAATTTTAATATGAGTTTTTTGTTATTTTAATGTTCAATTTGTTAAAAAAGGGCAGTAAGCCTGGGAAATGCTTAGTTTTATGCCGCTATGCTGCCAAATTTTTTAAAAAAATTTAGTCTTGCAAACATGACCATTGTTAATTATGGTTTGGAGGGAGTTTAGTTATACTTCTATCTTGTTTCTTGAATTAGTTTAAAATTTTGTAGGTTAAAATAGTGTAAAGAAAGGGCATAATACTTGAGAAATACTTATTTAAAATTGTTAGGCTGCTAATTTTTTTTTAATTTTAATTTTTCTCTTGAAAAGAACAAATACAAGCATAGTTGAAGTTGTTAAAGTGATTAAACTCGTGATTCACTGAATGCTTTTCTAATTTTACCATCTTTCTTAAATAAGGGCATTATGGATAAGGAGTGGATGTCTACCAATTGCCTATCTAAAGAATATTGGGATGGGGTGGCAGAATTTGTTAAGTTTGCGGTAAACAATGCAAAAAATCGTGAGCGAATTGTTTGTCCTTATTTAAGTTGTGACAATGTGAAGTCAATTTTTGGTTGAAAGAGCATATTGAAGGGAAGTACAATGCCAATCCTAATTCAGTTTCTGATAGATTAAAATGGCTGGCACAAGGTCTGAGCAAACATGTCTTCTCTTACACTAGTTATACTAGTAATGGGTACAAGTTCTACACAAAGGAGCATGATGACCGAAGTATAATGCAAAATAGTGGTGTATCCACCATAGGTGATAGCATGCACATTTCCAGTGCGAAAGATAAAAAACCTATTTATGCAAAAATGCGTTATTTTGGAGTAATTGAGCACATTTGGGAGTTAGATTACATCTCCTTTCGAGTTCCAATCTTTGGTTGCAAGTGGGTTGAATATAAGAATGGGGTAGATGTTGATAACTCTGGGTTAATTAGGGTGAATCTGAATAAGGAAGGGTTCACAGAGGATCTTTTTATTTTTCCTTCCCAAGCCAAACAAGTTTTTTATGTCCATGATCCAGCTGATAAAAAATGGTCTATTATTTTATGGAGTAACAAGGAAGTTGAAGAAATGGAAAATACAGAAAATGAGCAAAGTCGAAGAAATGATGAGGTTGAAGTTGATCCATTTTATGGGACATCATTTGAAAATGATGATGGTGTAGACAGTATTGAAGATCATGCTTTCTACATAAGACGTGATCATAGTGAGGGAATTTGGATTTTCAAGAGGGGAAAATCAATTCAACAAAAGAAGAAGATTGTTAAAGTGAAGAAGAAATTAGTCAAAAAAGTAGTTAAAATAAGAAAAAGAAAAAGAACAACATAAATAGGTAACTATATTATTGTTGACTTATTAAAGAAAGTGCACGTGTTATTATTAGTTTTTTGATTTTTTTAACTTATTCTTTTTTATTTATTTAATCTTGATTATTATTGCTTTCACAGGTAAATGGCTATTGAGCATGACCATCTTGACACTGGCTCTAGATCCAGTAGTCCGAGTAGGCAGTATGATGACTCGGCTAAGAAAAAGGCTGATCTTGATAGGCAGGAAGAACAATTAAGGAGAGGATTGGTTGTGATGGAGGAAGTCACTAAAGCAAGAAATGAAGGAAGAAAATTTACTGTCAAGTGGAACAATAAGAATCAAGTAGTTGACAGTCATAACTTTATCAGTTATATTGGTGTGGCAGCGAAGTCCTCAGTGCCTATTACTTTAAAATCTTGGAAGAATGCAACTCCAGCAATGAAGGATGCGGTGTGGAGAACTTTAATAGTAAGATACTATCACTTTGCTTTTTTTTTTTAAACATAATGTTTTGCAATCGTTTGTTTAAATTGATATGTTCATCTTGCAGTCAGGATTTGAGATCGAGGAGAGGCGCAAGAAGTTTGTTCTACAGAAAGCTGGGATAGCCTTAAGATCTTTTAGAAGTTTTATTACCCATAAATTTTTAACGAACCCTGACATAGAGGGTATCGAAGATACAGTTCCTTCCCTCATTTCGAAAATTGTGAGTGAGGATGAATAGAAAGCTTTTGTCAACTCACGTCACAGTCCAGAGTTCAAGGTAACATTAATATTATTTTATTTATGTATTGTTGCTTTTGTTATCACCTCCTTTTTATATTAATTGATTACTATGTTTTGTGTTTTTCCGAAGGCATTAAGTGCCAAAAATAAAGAGTTGGCAAAAAATAATGAATATACATATAAGGTTGGACGCAAGGGATATGCGGGAGTTGAAAAGGGTTTGATTGAGAAAGAGCAAGCGTTGGAGGGTTCTATATCCCGTGGTAGGATTTGGGTCGAGGCTCGAAAAAATAAAGCAGGCAATATTGATAACCCAAAAACAAAAGCGGTTGTTGAAACAATAGTAAGTATTAATGATATATTGATATAATGTTATTAGTTTTTACTTATAAACTTTGTTTTTTTCTGCTTCATAGGAGACTTTGACTCAGGAGGCATTAGCAGGCACTCAAACTATTAATGAGGATATATTGGAAAAGGCGTTGGGGAATACTGACCATCCTGGTCATGTTCGGGGCGTTGGCTTTGGAGTCACAAGAAAAGATTACTTTGGTGATGCATTTAAGCGTGGTAAAAAGGCTGCTTCTTCTACTGAGGTTCAAGAGTTGAGGCAAGAGCTAGCAGAACAGAAGCAGCAGATACTAGCACAATCACAACAGATACAAGAACAATCTAGACTCATCGACATGCTGTTGAGCCGGCATAAGTTGGGGCTTCCATTGGGCGACAGTAGCCCTAGTGTGAATGATAGTTGCACAGTCCCATCTCAGCTCCTACCTGAGGTATCATTATTCATTTTACTATAATCTTACACATAATACTACTTTTATTGTTCATATTACATAATTTTTTTTTAATTTATGTAGGGTGAGGTCGATGTTGATTGTTTGGCAGAAGACGACCATGTGGTTGCACTGGGGCGCATGTACAATATTGCTGGGCAAGTAATGCTTCACAATGAACACATCCCTGAAGGGACAGTCTCTTTAAAGATAGTTGAGGATCCTAATTATGATCTATCCTACCCCACTCCGGATGCAAGGACGGTAGTAGATGCATTGCTCAGCTTTGTTGCATGGCCGATTCGTCTTCTTCGTATTTCGGCACCATCTCCAATGGTATATTTGTT